TATAGGGAACCCTATAGGTCCTATTGGGAACCCTATAGGCCCTATAGCAACCCTATAGGTCCTATAGAGAATCCTATAGGTCCTATAGCGAACCCTATAGGTCCTATAGGGAACCCTACGGGTCCTTTACAGAGCCCTTTGGGTCCTATAGGGAACCTATAGGCCTTATGAGGAACCCTATTGGTTCTATAGGGAACTCTATAGGTCCCGAACTGAACTCTATGGGGCATATAGGAACCTATAGGATTCCTTTAAGTTCCTATAGGATTCCTTTAGGTTCCTATAGGATTCTTATAGGAATATATAGGAATCCTATAATACATTTTCGTAAGGGCGGTCGCGGATTCCCCCCCCCCCCTGAGCGGGGGGCTCAGGCGCCCTCTCCCTCCCTCGCACAATCCTCTCGCACCTACTTCCTCCTCATTCCCTGTGGCTCTGTGCGGGGACGTGCCTGGCACCCGTCTTCTTGTCTCCTGTCTCGCCTTCTGGACGTGTGAATGCGTAGACATTACTAGACATTGGCCTAACTCTTCTGTCCCTTCGACTTCTTCGCTTTTTATTAATACATTGCCATTCATGATGCTAAGTACCGAATTACTCTTTCATTTTTACTGGTTCGCTCACGCTTTCTGTGTGTGAACCCTTCATTCGTCAAGTTTTAGGAATGATATATCGATTCAACTACAAGGAATATTTTCACTCCATGAAGTTCCATTTAATTATGGAAAGGCATTTTCCTCAACGGAATTCGAAGCTTTTTCGTTGGAAAAGTATACTGTATACTTGCAGCTGAATATAATTTTTTTTTACCATTCCGCTGCTATCAGAATTAGTGGCAGACAGAGGTAACGTTTCCTACAGTCACTGCTTCTCCAGTGGCCTTTGAAATTTAAGTTTCCGAATTGGAATGAGTAATTTATTGAAGTTCCATCGTTGTGTCTTTGCGAAGGAACGTGTATTTTCCTAGGTGTACATCCTACGAAGTTGAAAATCCAGATTCGCGCACGTTGCATGTTCACTGTGATATTTCTCTCCGAGTCTTGCATGCTTACAACCTTCGGAGGAGGGGCATTTATGTGGCTCCTCTTTGTGACGGTGGAATTGCCTTATACCAGGGGTGTGAAACATACGACCCGCGGATGAGGTTCATCCGGCCTGCCGTCTGTTCTTGTTATATCCAATTGGATTAACTATCAGCACAAATTTCGGCGAGAAAAGTATGGGTGCGGCCCTCAGGCATCTGTAGGATAAGGAATGCGGCACGCCAACCGATTTGAGCTTGACACTCCTGCCTTATACGAACGTGGGCAGTAATATGGATTCGGCGTACTTGATTAACTTCTCGGCGAATATCACTTATCTCCAAGGACACAATCAAGATTCTGAGGTTTTTTTTTCCCAATTTAGCTTGGCGAAAAAGCAACAAAAACATAATTGAGATATACCTGTTCAGTACTTGTACCTCGTATAACAAATTAATAACCGAGTCTGGGTTCATCTTTTCCCCTCTTTATGCAATTTCATGCAGGGAATACCATCTACAATGAATTGTTGCATATGGTTCTCCGTCCACATCCAGTGAGCGAGATCGAAGACGAAGTAGAAATCAATGTGTTCAACCCAAAGTCTGCATGATATTCAGGGCCGACGGTTGAGAGCGGAAAACCTAGAGCGTCTCGCTCGAAAGGGTCAGCCAAGATCAGATGAGAGGGATGCTCAGTAGCGTGCCCAGAAAATTCAAATGGGAAGATTGACTTATGGAAAAATGATAACCCACCTTGTTTTTATGGTAAAAAAGAATTATTATTTTTTTGAGAATCGAATCTGTAAAACATATCCCAAGTGAAGGGGGAGAAGGGGGAGGGGTCATTGTGTCATTTTGTTATGGGGGTCATAACCCCTCCCTCCCTTGGACACGCCAATGGAGATACTAGTACTCATATGACTGATTTTCATGTATTTTGTACTGTGATACGAACAAGAAGTGGGTTCAACCCCCTGCTGAAGATGAATAATTCTAAATAGCGGACAGTTCCTTCCCTGTCATTGATGAAAGTATCTTTCCAAAGTCATTTTGGTCTTTGCTCAGCAGCCCCAAAACTTCTTTAAGGAAAATTCAATTATTCGCTTCAAAGTCTACTTCAAGAAAGTTCTGCTTCTTGGCACGAACACTGCTGACCAGGGCCGACGCTAGTACCCCTGCGTCCCCTGCGGCGGCAGGGGGCCCCCGCAGAATCCGGGGCCCCAACTCCAAGAGGAAGAAATACATAATAAGTAAGATAGGAAGAACGAAAGCAAAAGAGAAAAAAACGTTGAAATG